GCCAGGTTAAAGCTCACTGGCCTTACATTGCACCCAGTTACCCTCCTGGGATTCAGGAGGGCCACCCCATCTCTGCCAAGTGGTTTTCCCCATTTATCTGAGCTTGAACTCTTGTATCAACAAAACAGCATTAAAGCAGCAGACCTAAACTGCATGCACAGGGATCCACAAAGAGACAACGCTGGTTATCAGAAAGACACAAATGCTCTGAAGCATGTGTGCAAAATGCTAGTAAATGTTTTAATAAGGTATTAGTGGTTGACTTAAAAGGCACTGTGCTAATCTGCACACAGCAAGACCGACGTGTCTACTTACAACGTGGGATTCTATGCTCCTAATGGTCCTGTAATTATCAGCTAAAGCCTGTTTCCAGAGGATTATCAATTGTCTCTCATAGGCATTATTCGTAGAAAATTCTCAGGAACACTATGCATATTTTAGCAGAGCCTGAATTACGCAGAGAACATGCCTTGTTTTCACATCGATGGGAGTAACTGGCCTATAAGCACGTGTCACTTGAGAAACTGTGTGCACAGGTTTTAAATCGTGGATCATCACATCAGTATCCTCCATGAGCCTCAAATGCTTGTAAACATTTTGTTTAGTAATGACTCCAGCTTTAATATAAATGTTCTTCCTGAAGCCTATTCTAGGAAGAACAGAACAGGAATTCTCATAATAAAAATGAATTGTAGGTAAATCATATCCTTAAATTTTATGTACTGTTATATTTCATAATTTAAATTCTACGAATCATACATCACATTAAGCAAATTAAGAAAATACAGGTCAAAGCAGAGAATACACAAAGTCCAGCACTTGTAGTTACAGCCTGTGAAAGTTTAACAGCTCTCTCCTTTTTTCCCTAAGGTAGCAAACAACCATAAAAGCACTGGTTAGAAGGGCTACCAGCTGTGCAGCTGCTCACACAAGGGCAGTTTTGAGCTCTCAAACAGGTCTGATAAGGCACTGCCCAGGCTCCAGGCATTCAGACTGACCCCCGTCCCAGCACTCTCCTTCTGGTGAAGGGTTGGAATCGCAGAACCATTTAGGTTGGAAAAGACCTTCAGGATCATCGAATCCAATCATTAACCTGACCTACTGGGTTCCATTACTGAACAACTCCTACTGCCATGCCCACGTCTCTTAGATGTCCTTGGAGACAGGGGCTCCAACCCTTCCCAGCGCAGCCCATCTCAATGGTTGAATATCCTCTTTGAAGAAATTATTCCAAACACCCACAACAAAAAATCCCCAGTGCAGCGTGAGCACCTTCCCTCACACTCTCTCATCATCTGAGAAAAGCAACTGCCACTCTCCTCACCATAACTTCCTTCTAGATAATTGCAGGGCTCCCCTCAGCCTCATAGAATCACCGAATACCCCGAGTTAGAAGGGACTGAAAGGATCACCGAGGTCAACACCTTTTCTCCAGACCAGACATCCCCAGTTCCCTCAGACACTCCTCCTCCACAGGCACCCATCCATCAGCCAGCTCCCGCCAGCCCCCAGCTCCGCACAGCCGCTCCGGCCGCCCGCCTCTGGGCGCTGCCCCTTTCCGCATGGCTCACGCAGACGCTTCGCCTGTAGACCCGGGAAATGTCTCCGTTCCAAATAACACAGGCATTTCACAGCCCATTTATGGAATACCTTCACAGAATCAAAGAATGGTTTGAGTCAGAAGGGACCGTTAACGTGCAATTCCCTGCAGTAAATAGGGGCATCTACAGCGCGGTCAGGCGCTCGGAGGCACTCATCCTGAAGCTGTGCGCTGCTGAAGCACGGACCCAGGACACAGAAGCAGCCCCTGTGAGAGCCCAGCACCTGCAGAATGGGATCACAAGGCACGTTAAGGGCACGTAAAACCATTTTGGGGCACGCAGGTAGGCGAGTCAGAAGCAACTTGCCCAGAAGCAGGCGATCCGTGTTAAGATACACAGACTAATGCCCTTGGTACAGCTGTGCCGAGCGCAGGAGCCAAACCCGCCGCCCTCCCGGCGGTGAGCGGAGCGGAGCCCCGCGCTGAGCGGCGGGATTTTCTCCATTGAAAGCTCCGGAGCTGCTGCGTTCCACGAGCGCCCTCTGCTGGCACCGCCGCGCATTGCCCGCGCGGCTCCGGCTCCGCTCAAGGGCGGGCTGTTGTGAACCCCGATAGACATCTCTACTGGTTGGATTATCACAGCTGCGATGCCATTAAGAGGCATCTTGTCATCCAGCTGAACGTCTGTTATCCGAAAGGTAACTCTCAGGGCACTGGGAAATCTCATCCAGTTTAATTTAAAACACTCTTCCACGTGCCTTTTATCTGCAGAAGAAATCAATTTAGAAGGCTAGAGAAAAATCTTTTGTTATGCCAAGAAACTAAAATCCATTTTGGTAGCCCCTGTTTCAAAGTCTTCCAAGAGCTGAACATTGTGGAATATTACTGCCTTGGAATGTGAAGACTTACATTCAGAAAGCCTCCAAGTTACTGCACAAGGAATACACCAGTTAGAGGATTTCCTGTGGCAGGTGGGCTCTTAGATACACAACTTTCAGGCAAAAGATACCAGGAGGAAGTGTCACTGAGATGCATACAGACAGCCAGAATAATAAGAATGCTTTCTGTAACAGAAGAAAAACTGCTGTAGAAGACAGGTAGAATAGTGAAAGAATGGCTATGTTCTTGTCAGTGGATTTGAACAAATTCCACTGGATCAGGCTCAACAAATTTGTTAACTCATTTCTGTTTCTGTATGGAACATCCCAAAAGATGTATCCAAATCCAGAATTATCTTTTGAACACTAGCTAGTAAACAGCAAAACTACTGCATTTATCTTACTGCAGACACAGATGCAGCACAAGTCAGCATTGTGCTGTACACAGTCAGGAGATGCTACACTTCATTTCCAGCTTTTCCCTGGAAGTGTCCCCGCAGATGCCCAGGGAATGCCACACTCATAACATCAGCCATTATCCCATTCTCCTCTTCCCAGCATAACTCAAAACAAGGCCTGGCTTGATTTCCCCTGCATTCAAATAGAAGCACTGCCTGAGCAGCGCAGTTGGGACTGTAGTCCATGGTCCCCCACCCCCTCCTGCACATAAATGACGATGCCTGCTCAGATGAATGGAACCCATTCACCACTGAAAGGAGCTTCCCCCTTTGCCCAGCTGCCTCGGGAGCATCCGTATATGAAACTCCATGCCAGAGTAACTTCATCTCACTTGATAGTGAACCTGTTCTGAGAGACAGATGGCACATGGAGGACGTGCTGCACTGCGCCCACAAAAATCCACAGCAGATTAACGACCTTTCTCACATTATGGGTACATCCCCATTTTCAGGTGTCAGGTAGATGACGCCTGAAGTTTTGTTGCTCTAAAAATCCAAATCTACTTTATTTCCTTACACGTTATTTCTGGCAAAATGTGTAATTTATGTCTTCCAAGCCAACTAAACAGCAGTGTATTGACAGCCAGCCAAACAAATGTGCTGGAAAGCAGATGCAAACAGACACATCCTTAATATATCTGAAGTTAGGAAGAAAGAGGTCAAGCAAAGCCAACTGTTGCACAAGATATGCTTTCTATTCAGTTCAGAAAAAGCTACGAGGAAGTTTTACTGTCACTTTCTTCATTAACTGTAATCTCCTGGGCTTCCTGAGGAGAAACGTGAAGGTCCATAAAAGACAAGGTAAGAGCTTGCTCCTTCAGTCTTCCTGACTCCAGAGGAAAAGTAGAACATACCAAGAGACCTTGTGAGGAAAAAATAACAGGCTGGGATTTCAGTGACAATTCTCAAGTGTACCTCAGCTTCAGCATCCTGGGCATTACTCAGATGGAATCCCAATTTAGGCAGATCACAAATCATCTGAGTTGGAAGGGACCTTTAAAGTCCATCTGGTCCAACTCCTCTGCAGTGAGCAGGGACACCTGCAGCTCAGTCAGGCAGATTGATGGGCACTGCAAGAGCAAACAGCCTGAGCAGCAGCCATCTGCAGAAGCCCCATCCCAGCAGTCAGAGTAAAACCAGGCAAGACCTCCAGCCGATGCCTGCCCTCTTGTCCTGAGAGAGGGCCAGCAAGACAGAGACCTTCACAGGCATCAGCTGCCTGTCACAAATCAAACTTGCTCCCAAGCAAAGTATTCTAAATCTCTTAAAGTATTACTAAACAAAAATCCATCAGCACTTCATTATATATTATTTTCAGCAGAAGATGTTTTCCAATTTGACTTATAAACTCACCAGAAAACCAACGACATTGTTTTTCTCAAAGAGAGAATTATACCTAACATTTGTATTACAAACAAAAGTAGCTGATTGCTTGGAGATTGTGTTCTAGAATCATCTTCCAATATTGTTTGTGTTACTTTTTTTTTTTTGCTCAGCTGCACAAATGCAGGTGCTGTTTTAAGGGCTTCCCTTCCTACTTTTCTTGTCCCCATGAACAAACTACAAATACTTGTTAATTTAATGAAGCTGCAGAGCATGCTGCCCTCAAAACACTGCAGCAGATAACATTTCAAGTGGTCGCTATTGATTTTTGCTTGCAGTTACCTCTGGAAACACCTGCAGAAGTACTGCTTATCAACAGACTTTTGTGGGAATATATGATTTATACACTGGACTAGAAGAATGAGGTTAGAGCAATTCCAGAAAGCCAACAGAAAATCTAATAAGCCTTACATGAGGACAGGATTAATTCAGTAGAGGACCATGTGTAACATGCAGCTTTAGAATTGCAGGTTAAGGAAAAACAGGAATAAAACCAAATTCAACTTCTTCACCGAGACCCTTACACACAACCCACAACAATTATTCCACCTGAGAAAATTCAGCAGGACCTCCAAGTGCAGAATGAACTGGGGCTGCCCTGCAACTGCTGTTGCTTTGCTGCAGCTCTGGTAACTCACAAGAAACTGGTCTTGCAGACAGCTCACTGAACAGGTGGGACTGAATAAAAGAACTCTGCTTAAAAATTAAAGAAACAACATTAATCAGTTGTAGAATACTCACATTTTTGCATTTCAAAAACTTACTTTCCTATGCCGTAATTACTTTCATCTCCTTACTGGTGCATGATATTCTTCGTGCTCTATTGTCTCCAGTGATCCTTTAAAGAATTGAGAAAACATTTTCTTGTTAGAAACTACAGTTCAGGTCCTCCATTATTTTCACACTACTTCCTGCTGAGCACTCACCTGCAACGTCCAGCACCACCCACCAACACATCCAGCCATCAGCTAAAAGCAGCCCCAGCACTGAGGGAACTTAAGCAGTAGATCTGGCTCTTAAGTGATCACAGCTGTATCTTAATTAGAGCTTCAGGTGTTCCACCATGGCCCTTTGCCCATGAAAGCTTCTTGCTGAGCACTGCAGCAGTCTTGTAACAAACACAGACTTGCCCTACATTGAGGGGGAAGGGACAAGCAAAAGCCTGCTGTCTCCTACAGCATCACACAGAGACAATCCACAACAAAACCTTTGCCACCACGCAGCCAAGGCAGAGAGCAATACAGCACCAGGCTAAACACATTGACCTTCCTAGTGCAAAGTCACCACAGTTTTAGTAACAAAAATGCTAGGCTATAAAGCTGCTGACAACAGCAAAACCATGCTCTAAATACCTAGTCTAGTACTACCTGCCTCTTTCATTAAGCCAAGAAACATTCATTACTTAAATTAAGAGAAAGAGAAAACCACTTCATTGGAATAGCAGAGAGAGCTGATGCAATGCTACAGTGGGATGGAAAATAGCACAATAACAGCAGGGTAACAAAACCTTATGCTATAGCAAATGAGAACAAGCCCAAAACCAACAGCCACAGAACTGAAAGAAAAGAGCTGCTTACCTTTAGAAGGCTTCAGGTAAGCAGGAACCTCCATCAAAATCCCCTCCCTGCCACTGCCAACCTTAAATGAGGTCTGGAAAGGGGAGGATCCTGGCTCCAGCCCTTCCATCATTCAGGTACATTGCATGCACCTGAGCTCCCCTGGGCTGGCCCTGCCTTCCCAACAGGTGTTCCATCACTGCTTCAGGCTGTGACAGCATTTCTGCTACAGCTGTATTTCAGGAAAAGCTCCAGGACAAATGCTGCATTTCCAGGGTGGATGAGTGTACGTGTGCACAGTGTGCGATTCACCACAGCCACTCATTGCAGGCCTGGGCAAAGAAAGGAGCTTCTCTTGGGACGAGGGATCAGTTCTACATGGAGTTTGCATAGTGGGTGCTGGTACAGCCCTCCCTGGCCCCAGAAAGTGCCAGGTCCTGCACACGGCAGGGTCAGCAGCCCTAGAGCCAGTGCTGGGACAGTGGTAGGAAAGGGAAACACCCAGAGGAAGACACCAGGTCAGCTGCCAGAGCGACAGCAGCGACAGAGCGCAGCCAGCACTGCCACGTCAGGGAAAAATGCTGTGCGAGATTACATGGAACATCGTACTAAAGTGATTAATTGAAGAGCTGAGCTTCAGAACAGTAATAGTTCCTTTCTCAAAGCATTACGTTGATCATTTGATTTTAAAATCCTTATTGAATTAAGTGCTCGGTGTGCCTTTATTCAACTAACTTTACTTCACGTTAGTCTTTGATCAGTTAATATATCTGTGCCAGGGTGAAAAGGAAAAAAGAGAAAAATCATTGCTCTGTCACTTCAAGCCTTCAGCTTTTCATTTATTCATAAACAAGTGAGGGTAGGAAAGACCTTCCAATCTCCTTGTGTCTGATCTTAGTTTCTGCTTTTTTGTAGCATCTATTTAATTTATATTCATAGATGTATAACATATAATTCATAGATGTATTCATACATCTACGTAGCATACTATTTAAGATGGAAAATTAATGCATTAATGCTATAAACAATGATATGTTAATTATTAAGCATTTTTAAAAGCCCAATTCATTTGTAGTAAGTGAGAGCATAAATTATATAATAACCCTTCGACAACAAGTCATTGCTTTTCCTCAGCTTTCCTTGCATGTGTTCATTTCTCTCTTTTGTGGCTTTACGTAAGCAGTCCATCAGTGCATTCACCCCTGTTCTTGAGATACGGAGTAAACTACGTTCTCCAGAAAGCCCCACGCTGACACACTTTGGAAGCACCCAACCCACAGGTAGCAGGGATCTGGAAAGAAGCCATCCTCCTCCACACACACGCAGAGTTATCAGAAGAGTTTTAGTTTACAGATCTTCACATATTTAGAAGTTTTTCTTTCTTTTCTTTTTTTTTTTTTTTAGTTCGGGGGATTTAGGGGTCAGAGTAAGATGTTTGTATAAAGTTACATGAAGATCTTTGGAGCAGTTTGTGAGCCATAAGCAGACACCAAGCACAGCCAGCCCTTCTGAGCTCCCAGAGCTCCCCCTGCACGGCTGCTCAACCCATGGAGCGGTGGCTCCTCCCCACACCCCGTGCCCTTGCAGGAGGGAAGCCCAGGCCCCCTAAGCTGGGGTAGGACCAGTGCAGGTGCGGTGCCTGATCCGCTCCGACAGGATCACGGGATCCAGCAGCTCAGTGTCACAGCACGAGCACAGGGAGCAGGTTTAGATCAGCAGCGAGCGCTCCAGCTGCGAGAAGATGGCACAGCTAATGGCATTCATTCCTCTGCCACAAATGTTAGGGAATGTGCTCTTCAACTTCTAAACAGGATTCGTTATGTAATTACAAATACCAGACTGTGGTTCAGATAACCTTTTGTTTTGTTCCAAGGCTGAAGTTTTACTTTCCATAGGCTCAGATAATTCCAAAACTATTTTATACTCCTTTCTTTGTGTAGCAAAAAATCATGTCATTCGGTTAGCTGAAAAACTGGAGTGTTTACCTTCATGGCTTCCTCTGTTCTTTTTCTCAGAGACAACGCCAACTGGTCAGTAACTGCGGCACCGTTTGGACAAGCAGAGCTAATGATACTGTGTAGACACACAGTATCCACCTTCATGTATCTGGAAACTAAGTCAGAATTCCTTTCTAGCTTCTATTCCTGTCCAGTTATAATCATCTGCACACTTACTAAAATTAAACTGAATGCACTCGCTTACAACTCCAGACCTGAATCACCTCTGCTTCACGTCAGACCTATTCAGCACAGTAGTAGGGAGTAGCCAGCATCGTAGCAGCAGCACACTGTGGGCAAGGAGTCCAGGACACTGAGTGTAACCTCCCTGACTGCTCGCTGTCCCATTACAGTGCTGTGACCTTCCTGCTAGCACGAACAAATTCTGAAACAAGAGAATAGCTTCACTGCTTCGCTTCTTTACAAGGAGAGTGGTTTTCTTTACAAGGAGAGTGGTTAGGCCCTGGAACGGGCTGCCCAGGGAGGTTGTGGATGCCCCGTCCTTGGACGTGTTCAAGGCCAGATTGGACGGGGTCCTGGGCAACCTGATCTGAATGTGTATGTTTGGTGGCCCTGCTGGGCAGGGGGGTTGGAACTACATGATCCTTGAGGTCCCTTCCAACCCGGGTGATTCTGTGATTCTGTGATTCTGTGATTCTGTGATCTGCGTGAATAATAATAATAATTACACTCCTTTTTCCTCACATATTTTCCTCCAACCTTTAGAAATCTGCAGGCATATTTTCAGAGCACCAAGCCTAAATTCATATTTGCACAATGCATCTGCTTCAGCCAGGTTTCTCCTGCAATTAACTGAAAAGCACACAGAGCAGTGCTGACAACCTGAAGTCTTCTGGCGCTCCTGTCCCATTGATCCGGACACTAAACAGGGGAAAGCTACTGCAGACATCAGTGGATTCACAGCTGTATACTCAAATTTTCCTGTGCTCAAACTCATTTCTTTGTTTGGGAAGTTGAAAAGGAATTGAAGAGCATGAGTTAAATATTTCATGTTGTGCTGGCATGTATAATTCATGATCAAATCCTTCAGAAAGGAATGGATAAGATGGAGCTGCAAAAGCTTTAAATGAAATATTTTCTTTTTCTAGTAAACAGACTGCTGAAAGAGTGCTTTCCTTCTTTTCTGCTGGTATTATAAAGAGAATTAAAAACGTGATAGAAGTAAGAAACATGCTAAATGGATTTGAGAAGTTATTCATTCTTATAGTTTGTTGATTGATGCAATTAATGTTTTATACATGCTTTTCCAAAGGTACCTCGTTGTACTGAGTTCCTCCACATATCACAACCTCCCACAGGAATGGGATGCATTGGCCTCACCGTTTAAACATTATTTGTTTGTTGTGCTAAGCATGAGGAGTCAAGGTCTATTCAGCAGTGCAGAGCTTCTGGAACTGGCTCACTCCATTAAAGCTGATGTGGTGCTTTCCAAAATCTGACCTTTCCTCCCCTTCTCTAGCTGGACACCCCGACCTCCCTCAGCCTCTCCTGGTAGCAGAGTTGCTCCAACCCCTGCGTCTCTTTGGTGGCCCTGCAGTGGACTGTTTGCAGCAGCTCTGTGTGTCTCTTATACTGGGGAGCAGAGGACATAAGAGCACCACTCCAGATGTGGCCTCCCCAGGGTGGAGTAGAGGGGAAGGAGCTCTTCCCTCTGCTTGTTTTGAGCACTGAGCTCAAAACTGGGATATGAACATTTCTTGTTTTCTGGTTGTTGGGTTTCTTGTTTGTTTTTTGCTGGTTGGTTGGCCTGGATTACTTTTAAATAACAAACATTCAAGGCAATAACCACTGAGAGTGCGTGTGTCTTTTTCATGTATCTGGTGGCAAAGATATCGGATGAGAGATCTTCAGCTTTTTCAGCCCATGGTTCAAGAAGTTTCCAGTACAAAGAGAGCCCTGTGAGATCTGCCTGCAGCAGGTCTCTGAGGAGACAATTTGCTCTTTGAAACTGCAGATACACCTGACACAATTTGCAGTCTCTCTTCTCCCATTTCTCCAAAGCATGCAGAATTCCAAGCACACTCTGAGAGCACCGAATGCTGCTTAGCTTTCCAAAAGTGTTCTGCTTTGCTCTGTTTCTATAACAGAGATCCAAATTGTGCACCGGTAGTTTACTTTGAGTTGCAAAAGCAGCAAGTTAATGCTGAGCTGCATTTGGTTTCATGTGGGAAATAATCACAGTGCTTTGACAATGGAGCAATAGACAAATGTTTGTTGTCTCTTTACTTTATTTGAAGAAATCTGTACCAAAAGGACACCGACAAGGTTTCCACATACAGTTAATCACGCCTATGAGACACGATGAAAGATTTTTAAATTGGAGTGAGTTTAGGATGAGTTGATTGTGCTGCCATGGCAACAGATGTGTACTGCATACCAACAGTAGCAAGTAGTTGTATGGGACGTATTTTAAAAATGCATAAAATAAGGGAAAACGTCAGAGACGAATTCAACAATCAGGAAAAAAGAACATGAATTAATTAAAAAGAAAGTAAATATTAACAGTTGTGACAAAGAAAGTCTACATGAAATCCAAACTACTTGAAATAATGTGCACCCTAGGACAGGCTAAGTTAAAATGCAAGCAAGAGCATTTATAGCACCAAGAGAAACAATGTGCTTTGAAAAATGTTTATGAATGTTTATGTTTACTGAAGTGGAGAAACGATACCCAGCCTTATCGTGCACATATCATATGTAAGAGGTTTCTGTCTCCCTGTTTGCCAGCCTGGCTCAGCCGTGCTCTGTGCAGCCACACGACGTCTCTGCGCTGCTCTTCGGCAGCGTGGGCAGCAGCTCCATCCATCGCCGAGTCTGAGAACCAGTGGGTCCAACAAACACAAAATCTGTATGATCAGTGCAACCATTTATGTTTCCTGACTTACAAATCGTATGGGAGCTGCTGAACCACTGCACCTCTGATTGAGCACCTGGGGCGAGCACTGAGTCAGCCCTGGGAGCACAGGTGGAGGCAATTCTCCTGCGCTACTGGAAGGGCTGAAGCCTGGCTGCACCTCTCCTTAAATTGGGTCCTCTGACCCCACTTGAGAGCTGGCTGCCAGTGGGGAA